TAATGTGGGTGGAATAGACGTGTCAACATAATAATAAAAATAGATCTGGTTTAAGTGTCTTAAAGTAGTAAATTAGGCCTAAACTCTAATCATAAAATTAATAATTTTTTTATAGTAGGCCTAATGTTGTTAATGGAAACCTGTAAAGTTTATAAATTTATCAGAATGTCTAGATAGGCTCATAACGCTTATAATTTTAAGCTTCGTGTTAAGGTAAGGGTCATACTAACTATAAGATCTAAGGTTTTCTTAGGTGTTAAGTGTGAGTCTAGCTTAAGACAGACTCCAGAGTTTTAATATAGTCCCAAAAATAAAAAAAATAAAAGATATTTAATTAGAAGTAATGCCATGGAAATGGTACTTATTTAAAAATGTGTATAGTTATTTAACTCTAAGTCTGGTAATCCCATATTTTAATGCAATGAATTCCCTAATTAGCTTTTTTTTAAATAAATAACCAACATATTTCATTATTAAAAGTATTTTTAAGTAAAATACTGACTTTTTGTTTGAAAAAAACAACCATTAAACCAATTGTACGAGAAAAAAAAAGTACATTACATGAATCTTTTGTAATGCAAGGTGCCCTTGTGGTAAATTAAAGAGAACTTTTCTGTCTTAAAAGATATAATTTTTGTGTTGCCCAGTTGGATGTATCTAGATTTAAATAAATGTTGTATTTATTTTTTATCACTTTATTTAAATAGGCCTGGGTGTCCCATATTTCTTTCTAAACCAGAGGTGGATTTGGTAAAGTGTAAATATTTGAGTATCCCATTTTCTAGGCATCTTGAAAACTGTGGGGCCACCCATGCAGGGCCATGTAAAGGTGGTACTTGCCAGGGGCGTCAATATTATTATTGTAAGTGGCTTTATATAGTGTGGTACCCCAGCCTAGGGCTGGGCTCACTATGCTGCACATACAATTTAACAAACATAATAATGAACTTAAAAAATTAATTAACATATATGAATTAAATAAAACAAAACAAATGAATATTTAAAACTATTTACATGTCAAGCCATGGACGATACCCAGCAGCATCGTTTTTTGGTCCGAGGGGGAATCAGTCAGGATATGTGTTTCGAGTGCAGTTTTGAAGACTGTGATGGTCGGTATATTCGGGATGTGTAATGGAAGAGAACTCCATTGTTTAGGGGCACAGAAAGAGAAAGATCATTCACTGTGTGTTTTTGTGCGAGTCTTGGGGACAGAAAGAATAAGGGCGTCTGCGGAGGAGCAAAGCTTTCGCAAGGGTGAATAGACAGAAAGAAGTTCGTCGGTAAGATAGGAAAGGCAGGAATTCAAGAAAAAGATGTGGCAGAGAACAGAGAGTTGTAGTCAATCTGTGCTTGTACACGGAGCCAATGGAGTGAATAAAGTAGTTGTGTAACATGATCCCGTTTTGGTGCCTTTAGAACTGGCCTAACAGCTGAATTTTGAACCTTTTGTAATTTTTTTACAAAGTGTTTTGGTGAACCTGATAGAATAGAGTTGCAATAGTCAAGATGAGAGAGAACAAGAGCATAGACTAGGATTTTTGTTGCACTAAATGTGAGGTAGTGGCGGATGGAGCTGATTTGACGGATAGCGGTGTATGCAGATCGATAAATGTGAGAGATATGATTATCGAGAGACATGTTTTAGACAGAATATAACCAAGATTCCTAGCATAGAATGTAAAATGTATGTCAAGGGCAAGGGGCTCATTTTCTATTTACTAGGGGCTGTAGTTTCAGTCTTAGCCCAGGGCACCACTGTTCCTTTGCACGATCCTGCATCCATTAATGAAGTAACGCGCCTAGATTTGTGTGTACGGGGGAGGGGCGGGGGAAGGTAAGTGGGAAAATGTTTGTTAAAAATTTTAATAGACGTGATGGTAGACTCAGTAGCAGCAGTAGTAGCAGAGGCGTAGCTAGAGTGTTTGGAGCCCGGGGACAAGATTCATTTTAAAGAGCCTCCCTTTCTTTTTTCAAACCCATTTTTTCCTCAATAAAAAATAGTATCAAAGCATATTTTGGTGCCCCTAACTAGTTTGGTACCCAGGGACATCTGTCCCCCACTGCTCCCCTATAGATACGACTGAGTAGTAGTAGTGACCATTGCTGGGCAATCTTGCTAATCTACCACTTGAGCTTGGGTTAAGAAAAAAACATGTTGTTCAGATCTGACATGCTTTTTAAACAGTTATTCTTTTATTGATGTCTGTTAATAGTACAGTTGAGAGGGCTGCTGGGTTTTCAATGGTATGAATGAGACAGGGGGTGCTGTTTTCTCTTTGAGGTGCCAGAACGATGTACATTCATGTTACAGTAGTGCATAGAGAGATATATCCTTCCAGGATCACTTATTGTATCAGACAGATGAGCGGCTTATACTTATACGAAGTGGATGCGTACACCGCGGCGGTGTACCTAGCGAAACCATCGGCTTTGGCCTGCGTAAACCGCGGCGATGTACCTAGTGAAATCGTGGGCTTTGGCCTGGGTACACCGTGGCAAAAATTTACCATTGGCCTGGTTTTAAGATATTATACTTGTTAGAGAAGATCTTGTGTGGTCAAGTGGTAGAGTGGACGCTTGGCGATAATATAGTTTCCTCCCATTTTAGTTTTAAAATATTTTGTAGCAATTTAAACATCTTAAATATATGTTTAAATATTATATTAAATACACTTTATATATTTATTTATATAAAAAAGTGTTTCAACAAGTTGTGCCGGCCTTTGACTTTGAAAATACCAGTAACTTTAGTAATAAGACTTTAGACATTTGAAAACAAACTTAAAGTTTCTGAAAGCGCATGTAATACATGATGATCATGTATAGTGTATGTCAATGTAACATGTATAACAGAAACTTTATGAATACTAAGTGACTGATATTCTATTGTATTTCAACATTCTTCGTGTAGTTGAATATTTACATTTTACTTTTACGAACACCCAAAGAAAATACCAGTATGAATAATATTCATACCATATGAATATTAATGTGCATGGTCGTATTTCAACCTTGAACCATCTTGCTTTCACTATGCCTTATGCATTGGCAAAATGTACATACGATATCAAAGGTTCATTCACAACACTCAGTCTCACAGCAAATCTTTTGAAAACACCTCGATTTTAGAAACTTGCGGAGTGGTAGCAAACTGTATAGCAAAGCCATAGGTCTGCGTTTACCCTTTTCATGACGGAATTTGTTTCCAGAATGGCATGGCATGTGCTATTCTCAGGGTAAAACACGACGTTTTCTCACAGAAACCATTGCACAATGGGCTTGGGACAGGATTTGCGCTATGTCAAAGTTTTTGTATTTGTTTTTTTTAAAATTGTTAAGAAATCGATCCTTGCCGGGGAGTGGGGGTGGTGATGAGTTATGGGCAGAGGCTTAACCAAAAAGGGGGCATTCACAAATCACGGCTCTGGATAGGGATTGTCCACAAAGGACGTCCGCACAACCAACTTACCTTTTGCACCCACCCCCCCTTTCCGCCGGCATTTTTTACTAATGTGTAATGCCAATGTAAAACTAAATCAATGATATTTAATTATTGTTAAAAGACTTTTAAAAATCACGCAGTGTTTTGTATTTATCATCATACTATTGTTTTGTGTTGACACATGCTTGGTATCACAATGACAATGCCTCGGACAACTTTAACGTCACGACTTCATGATCAATGTATGAGTATGTGATTCTCTTCCCGTAGTGTATTTGTAGTGTAATTATATCTTGGTGCTAACAAAATAGATTCACCGGCTTCCCATTCATTTTTACACCACGCCCTGAGGGATCACATACAATGTTATATTTATAATGTCCCCCCCCCCCCCCCCCAAAAAAAA